AAGCCACAGGAGGTAGCTTTGCTTTTGTGTAGTATTGCAGTTCCTTGCTTTTTTACTTCTCCACCTCAAGTTTCAGGGTCTATCAGTTGTAACACATAAGGATCCATGCCTGAGGGAATGGCCTGACGCTGAGCCAGGGGAGGTTTAGGCTGGATATTAGGAAAAGGCACTGAACAGGCTCCCCAGGGCAGTGGTCACGGCCCAAAGCCTGACAGAACTCGAGTGGACAAGGCTCTCAGGCACACGGTGGGATTCTTGGGGCTGTCCTGTGCAGGGCCAGGAGTTGCACTCCGTGATCTCTTCCAAGTCAGGATCCTATGACTCCATGATCCTCCCCAGGCCTCCTGCAGAAACATGTCAAATTACCACTTCCATCCCAAAGAACCTGCTGTAAGAGTAGAAGACAAGACAGAAATAGTCAGATCATTATGGACAGCTCAATGACTGTGAAGTTTTATATAGGAAACTCCCATAAATGCCTGGGGCATTGTCTGGATTCAAGGAACCACAGCTGAAGGTGAGGAGCTTCAGGCATGGGATATGTAATGGAGCTTTAGCAAAAGCAAATATTTAGGAATTTAAACTGGTGTGGCACGGGTATTTTGGAGGCTGCAAGACACAATTTATTCCCAGTCTGAAAGAGGACCTGGTTTCTTTTGTATGCACAAATTTACCTCGTGGTCAGATGTGATGGAGGGCATTGTTAAATGTGCAGCACACAGTCCAAGTGTGGAGTAACCTGACATAAAACTCCTGTTCTACTTTTTTCCACGTCTGTCACCCCATCCAGGTAAAATGAAGCACTTCATACCTTGGCCTTATCCCTGGTAGTGCTAGAAGGGCACATGGAGCACACATAAAGAATACTGTGGGTTGGATGGTTCCTCTGGAGGTCACCTGGCCCAACCCAGCGCTCGGAGCAGAGCCTACAGGCACACAAACCGACATGAACTGGCCTCAAAAGGACCTGTCAAAAACAAGGCTCGCCTCCAGATGACCTGAACTTTAAGAATGGCCGTGGCAGAAGCCAACCTGGATTGCACGTGTTGGGCCTGTTTCTAACTGGCCTTCTCTTTTGTGCAATTGCGCTTTCAAGAGTTGTGTATTGTTATTATTTGTCAACAGGCACGAGTTTTTAGAAAACACAGCTTGACTTCAATCCTCTGCTTTCAGGGAGAACCTTTCATCATTTAACTTTAATGGGGAACCCCCTGTTACTACACAGATCGTCCAGTCCTTGTGCTGAGATTCGGCTGCTTGACAGTGCTCGGTCAGGCTCTGCATGTGGGGAGAGGGGATCGGGGGGAAGAGAAGCAGGGATGATCCTCTCCATGGTGAGCCTTGGGCCAGCTGCAGCACATCTGGCTCCCTCCCAACTCCATCTGCAGCGCTGGGGGTGGCATCTCTTAGGGGGTCCCCAGGCCAGCAGCCTTTCATGGAGATGCTTCTGGGGCGAAGGGAGCCGAACATCCCACAGTCCTTGGGGTGGAGAGCCCCGTCCAAGCCTTTTTTTCTGTGCTAATTCTGCTGCTCTGGATTTGTGTGCTGCAACCCTGCGCTTGGCACTTGGCCTGGCTGCCCGTGCCTTGAAGAAATATCCGTGCAAAGGCGATTTTGGGGAAGCCCGCACGCCTGCGCGTCCCCTGCGAGTCCAGCCACGCCGGGCCCGCTTTTATTTCCAGTGAAAAAAAAAAAAAAAAAAATGGCAGAGGGGAAAAATCCGAGGTTCCTGGAGTCCCATGAAGCGCTGTGTGTCCTCAGCCGTGGGAGAAGCTGTAGGAAAGACTGTGTCACCGCAAAGCTGCAGCCCAGACCTTGCCGTTTCCACGTCGGATGCTGCGTGTGCTTGTTCGACTTGCTTGTCATCGTCACCCCGGCTGGCACTGCCTTTTGGCAAAGGGAGGGACAAGAGCAGGCAATGTTTTACAGAGGACAGTATCTGGCCATGGAAAAGCTGTGCAACATGACTCATTTTGTGTAAAGGACACGAAATTACAACTGCGTGCCACATGAGAGATGGTAGCTGGGCTCGAATCAAAAGACATCCTCATCCAGGAAGGGTATTCAAGCATGTGCCTCATTTAAGAGCATACTTAATCAGGGCCTTTGGGCATAAAAGGGTAATGATTATTCTTGTGTGGCTGGGAAAATCCAAGTGACATCCGGAAGATGTATTACTCGAGAAAATTCAGTGTTATTTCGGTGTCCTTGTTTAATCTTTCAATTTCTAAAAAAGTAATTCTTTTAATTTGTCATTGCTCGCAAATGCTGTGAGTTCCTTCACAGCTGCTTTACACTCAATTGTTAATGCCAAGTGGAATCAGCAAACACAATCTGGTTCAGATAATAATTATGGAAGATCAATCCCGCATCCCTCTCCTTTCCCCATGCCCATTAAACTTTCCAGCATGTAAGATAGGCATGTTTGACTTTGCAAGGAAAGCCAGCCACAGCATGCACTGTTTAATCATTTAAAATAAAAAAAACATCCCTGTCCCCAATTTTTTCGATGTATTTGACCCCTAATAACTGTGTATTGCTGCAGAGATTAGAGATGGCACACATGATCTTAAGTATACAGGGAGCTTAGGGCTGGCTCCCTGTCCCAGTGTGACCAGGGCAGATGGCAACTAATGTCTCTGGTTTCCTTGGGAAAACCAAGTGGTACAGCTCCTCTGGACCCTACAGCTGTGAGAAGGCAAACTCTGGTCTATGTTGATCACGTTTCATGGTTTTGCACCCAAATCACTGCACAGAAGTTGTCCCCTGAACTGACCCAGACTTGACCTGCCCTAAGGACTCTGGACACCAGCCATACAACTGGAGTTTTTGAGGGGGCTGATGGATTTCCCACCTACACCCTACACCCTGTAGGAGATTTCCCACCCACACCCTGAGGGAGATATCCAGCTGGCTGCCCATGGAGCATGGTCTCATTTTTGAGATACTTGCTGTGCAGAAAGATGTTCAGGCACCTGTTTTAAGAGAGGTTCTTGGGCCAAGAGATAAACAAGGGCTGTTACTGGCTGTAAGGAGGGTGTTTGTTCTTTTTATTGACTTTGAGTTAAATCCTGTTCATCCTCCTCAGGCAATTACTCCTGCTGAAACCAGGGTGACTGTTGGCATGAATAAAGCAGGTGGATTTTGGCCCCTTTTAGAAGAGGGCAGTCATAAACCCAGCTGCCAGCACAAATCCAGGTGGTAAACCAGGGATTTCCGTGGGGAAAAAACCACAATAAAGATCTGTGGGATAGAACTAGGGAAATGGAAGGGCATACAGGGAAAGAAAATTTAACTTCATTTAACTCTAATGATTAAAGGTAGATGTTCAGCTGGGCATCAGTAAAACGTGCCCCTGCTTCCTTGTCTGACCTTGGTGATGATCCTTGAACACCACATTCCTCTCAAAGCTGTGGTTAAATACAATTGTATGTGGCTTTGAGAGACAGGAGAGACCAGTGAGAGCAAGGTATTGTAAGGATATTTGAAAAAGTGGATGATAAAAACACAGTACACTAGGCAACATGACTAGAGAAGAAGGGTTTTCTTCGATATTTCTTCTCACCTCTTGTTTCTTTTCCTCTTCCTTGTTTGAACAATACATCTTAATCTTGCTCCTGTGCACGAGAGTTATGTGTGCAGAAATCATCTGAGACCACTTTGTTTCTAGTTTTCCTTCATCCGTTTGCTATTATAAATAACCAAAGAGGATATTGCTTAACCCATAAAACAAAGTGACATCATAATTTATTAATGCAGAAGACACAGTTCATTGCTGTTAAAGTGCCATAAAGAGCTGGAAATAGAGCAGTTTCTCAGAAGGCATTGCCAGTATGTCAGAGGAAAGATTTCCTCAGCGTGTGTGCAAGATCCTCTCCGAGTACTTCAACATTTTGAACCAGCTGAACCACCCTGCAGCCTGAGAAGATCATCCAAACACTCCTGGAGCTCTGGCAGCCTTGGTGCTGTGCCCACTGCCCCGGGGAGCCTGTTCAGTGCCAACCACCCTCTGGGGGAAGAACCTTTTCCCAATATCCAGCTTTAACCTCCCCTGACACAGCCTCAGGCCATTCCCTCATGTTCTGTCACTGGTCACCACCGAGAAGAGTTGTGTTGATGTGCTGTCCCTGGACAGCAGCCTGACATATGGACAAAGTGCAGTGGTCACATGTCCACGGTAAGACATCCCTCTCTTTTTGAGATAACATAAACAATTTCCCTGTTATGGATAACTTGCAGCCCTGGGAAAGTGCTCCGTGGATGTGCAGCTCCAAGCTCCACCACTACCTGCACAGCAGCACCGCTCCTCACTGCTGCTCCCTCATCACGAAACACGCCTGGCTGTGCTTTTGCAACTTCTGGGAAGACGCAGGATTCCTTTTCGGCTCCCCGGGACGTTCATTTGAATTTCCATTTGTGGTAATTCCGTACTTTCCGTGCAGGCAGTCAGCTCCCTCCCTCCGGGGTGCACCTATTTAATCCGATCCAGCGGGTGCACAAAACGTGCCACGGTGCGCCGCGTGGGCTCCCCCTCCCCGGCCATCCCCAGGGGAGCCGCGGCGGGATGAGCTCCTACCTGCCTGCTCCTGGCTCCCTGGAGAGACAGATTTCCCTCCTGTTCATCAGCTGGCACTGCGGAATTTCTGCCTGCTGTTTGCCTGGCCAGCTCCTCCACAAACACACACAGACACACAAACACAAACACACGCGTGTGTGTGTGCTCACACTTCCCATGCTTGTCCCCTGTGTGCGCCGGCCCCAGCCCGGCGCCTGCATGTTGGCAGTGCGCTACCCCCCTCGAATCCCCCTCTTCCCTGGGCTATATGTGGCATTTCGAAGCTCTGACAATCTGCTCCAAATGTTTTCCATATTTGTTCAGCCTTCCTCGATTCAAATACCGGGAACGGCTCAGCCGGCGCAAAGCGGAGCTTCGGGGGGGAAAAAAAAAAAAAAAAAGAAAAAAAAATCAAATAATCAAATCACACCCCCGTCGGGCGTGCACACACACGTGAGGTCCTGAAGTTCCTCTCGGCATGGGAAAGAGGGAGAAGAAAGCCCAGCACGGCACGTCCCCGAGCGACCAGGCAGGGAAGGCACCCGAAGGGGAGAAAAGCACCGACTCGAGCAAGACGCAGGAGCCGGCGATGAAGAAGAAGAAGAAGCAGAAGAAAGCCAAGGGGGATCCCAAAGCTGGCCAGGAGGAGGAATCCCACACTTGTTGTGGCTGCCGTTTCCCGCTGCTGTTTGCTTTGTTGCAGTTGGCACTAGGCACCTCTGTAACAGTGCTGGGCTTCCTTATGGCAGGCATCAGCTCCTCTCTGCTAGTCAGAGACACTCCATATTGGGCTGGGATAATTGTAAGCATAAAGTCTGTTTCTCCATAAAGTGCCTTTGCCAGCATTAATGCAAGCTGCATGACGCTCCACTATAGACTAACCAACTGCATGCACGACACCATTTGAGTTATGCTAACTATAAATATTCCCGGGATTAAGTGCCTGGGTGTACTTTCCCGAGGAAATTGCTCCAGCAGAATAACACGAGCTTTCGTATTCTCCCCTGCGATACCCAACAGACCTGAAATAAAAGACAGGGTTGCTGTTTGACTAGATGTATATATTAGCTTGTGCTTTGCCGTGAACTCCTGCCTGGTGATGCTGGGAAAAAAAAAAAATGTTGATAACTTACGCTGCCTCCCCTCTTTCCCCACCAAACCATAACCATCAGGTTTTGGGCGTGAGAGCATAACTCAGTAACTCGCAACTTTCAGCTGGGGCGAGGAGAGGAGTGGCTGTCTCTTGAGCTTCCTCACTGTGCTGTGCTGGAGAATCCGCCGGGATTTAACCCCCTCCCTCCCCTCTGCTCCTGACTTCTCCCTCGTGGGAGGGAGGGGAGGACTGCACCCAGGTGGGGACGGGGTGTGGGGGGGCCACTCGTGGTGTGACCCCCCCCCGGCTGGGTGTGCTCGGGGGACATGTGGGGTTTGCCTGTGGAGAGACAGGGTAGTGATGGTGATGAGCCTGGGGTGTGCTGTGGATGTAATTTAGCATGCAGGGGTTTTTTTCCCTGGGTGGGAAAGTATATCCTGAAAGTATATCCTGATGTGTTAGCGCAGTTCTGGGTCTTGTTAGACTGTAAGAATTCCAAGCAAAAAAAATAACGTTTAGTACTTAAAATTCCTCCAAGCTCTAAACGGCTATGGGAGCATCGCCTGGGAATCTAATTCCTTGCTAGCTGGAGATTACCTGATCACCTGAACTGATTGGGTTTTGCTGTATTAATCCTGCTGGGTGACCCTTCAGAGAGTGGAAGGAGCAGGGCCTGAGCTCCCTAAGGAAGCTCCTCCTCTTGCTCATCTCATTCTTCATATTTCTCTTCTGATTGAAGAGGTATCTAAGAGCTTAGTGATGTTTTGTGGGGCAAGAGCCTGTCCCTGCTTGGAAGGAGAACTTCCTCCTGGGGTTTTCACAGTTACAAACCAGGGGGGAATGCAGGTGGTAAAATAGCAGTGTGTGACATGCTCACTCCTCTTGTTTATTTTGGGGATTCTGGAGGTCAGATTATTCCCGGCAGCACCAGTAGTATCCCAGGATTGAAATAGCTTTTTCACGAGAAGAGGTGGGACAAGAGTGAGCTGGACTGAACCAGTGTACAGCCAGGGATATGAGAAAAGACACGGAAGTGGCCCCTGGCCCACGTGAATGTCATCAGTGCGCCCAAGTAGCATCAATCTGAGACATCCACATATGCCTGATCTCCCTCAGATCCTGAGCCAATCCCCAGCTCGAAGCAAAACTCATCTCTCAGTCGTGGTGGTGATGTTTTGCACTCACCAGCCAGCCAGGATAACCCCTGGGGGAACTCCTCTCCTGGGACTGTGCTGGCTGTGGGGGCCAGGGCATTGTTTTGGTTCGTGTTCTGGGGTGCCCGGGCAGGGCCCCGCGGGGAAGGGTGACTGCACCTCCGCTTTGAGTCACACGGTGACTCTCACCTTGGGGACTCTGGTGTGATGGTGAGTCACCAGCACATTCAAGCGTGGTTTGATCCCTCCCTGGCTCAAAATGGCTCTTGGTGTCCCCCTGTTTACCCTCAGGGTGATGACAGGCACTGAGTGCCAGGGGCGCGTGGCCAGGCAGGCTCCTGGACAACCACACTGCTCTCCTGCACCCTCATCCCGAGGCAGAAGGGAAAGAGGGGGATAAAAGGGAAACCTGGTGCTAGAAAGGAGAGGAATGAGGTGACGGTGCAGCCGTGTGGGGTGCTGGCCGTGGCTGATGCACCACAGGAGCAGAGCAAAGCACAGCTCTGAGGGGCAAAGGGCAGGACATGGTGCTGCGTTTACTTTGTTCCTGCTCTGTGATGTCTTGGAGGTACTTGGTGCCCCCTGGGGCATTGGATGGAGATGGCCAGGAGCTGCTGAGCCGGAGTTTCTGGGTGTGTGGGTCACAGGGTGTTGCTGGTGAGCAGTGATGGGGGTGTGTGACGAGGACCAGCCTCTGGAGAACTGGGGGAAACTTGGAGGAGGACCCTTGACCGGGACCTCCATGTGGCTGGATGTCCTATGGGCTGCCTCTTGGGCTGCACAGAGGGAATATAGGTAGGGATGGATGACCCATGTGCTGCTCGAGATCAAACCTCCTGGCAGAAAGTGACTTCCCAAAGCTCGTCTATTCACCCAGAAATGAGCAGCAGAGCAGAACGACGTGGTGTAAAATACCAGAGCATATTTGTTTTAGTAGCATCCCACTCAAGTGCTCTTTTTTAAAGGACTTGATTAGTATTCAGAATCAAGAACTTAAAAAAAATCTATTATCGAGACCTTTTTAGCAACATTAGAGATAATGGGTGAAGCTCATTCCTGGTGTTACTCCTTTGGAATTACACCAGGGCGGGATTTGACCCCGCGTCTGTTAATGCAGGATGACAGAAAAATGAAGGAAAATTGCTAATGTGTTAAATAGACCCTGATTGATTGAAAGCTAATTTTTTTTTTCCTTCTTCTTTATTAATGGCAAAATGGTGACACCATTCCTTGCTGAAAATCAAGTGCTTTAGTGCATTACCATGAATGAAAAGGAATTTTATTTAGCAAAGCAGATAGAGTAAAATGCTAGCGAGGAAAACCAGGCAAGGCAGTGTGAATTAAATGGGTTCCAAATCTGACTCTGTCAGTTTGTGAGGATAGCACAGGACGGGGATTGGATTCACCAGCACATGTGGCCAGCGATCTGCTGACAGGGAGTCCAGGGGGGTGTTCCAAGGGGTGTCTGGCACCTCCTGAGCTCCTGCAGAAGGAAAGGATGCAGCTTGCATTGCATCAGAGGCATTTCATCCTGGAAACCAGTGGAACTGCAGGCTGGACCACCCTGGCAGTCTCCTCCTTCTTGCTGTATTGCAGGAGCTTGGAAAAACTCTTCCCAACTCCACCCATGAGTGCAGGGCTTTCCTCCCCCGCCCCATGTCTTGGCACTGACTTGCTGGGTAGCTTTGGGCAAGTTACTTAACCTTGCTGAGGCTTTGTCATTTCCCCTGCAAAGTGGGGTTAATAGTGGCCATCCGTCACCCCTCGCTTTGAGATCCTGGGATGGGAAGTGTTGCAGAAACAGTAGATATTAATGGTATCCTTCTCATTCTTTTTCATTAGCTTGTGGCCTTTTGGCACCCAGAAGGAGAAAAGATGTATTTCTCCTTGAAAAATCTGCTCCTAGATTATTTCCACTGCGATCAAAAGCAGAGAGTATCAGAGTTTTCGCAGGCAAGGTCCCTTCCAGCCCTGTTTTGCAGACTCGGGCAGTTAAGAAAGTTACAGAAGTGCTCATCAGAGATGATTATCCAGGGTGCTTATTCTTTCTGTCAGAAAGTTATTTTAAATATGAAAATAAATAAATATATATATGCATAGATGTTCATAAAATTGGGACTTTTAAAAATATATAGAAAACCTGTTCCTCAAGTAGCTCAAGGCAGCAACTGTGGCTCCAGTCGTCAATGATTTAACCAATCTTCATTTACCTGGAGTCAGAAATGTTTACGTCTGTGGAAGTTATCATAATTTTTTTTTTAAGAACCTTGAAAAAGACTTAAGGCAAAACCTTTAGCAAAGGAAAAAAAAAAAAAATTCTTTGCTTTGAGAATCTCCCAGACAAGGAGAGGTGACATGAAGACCAGACCCTATGAGGGCTGGAAAATCCAGTTGTGAGAGACAGGAGAGAAGGAAAGAGAGAGACAGAGTGCACCGCATGGCTGGATCAGGGAATGGTGCAAGGTATTTGAACTTTGAAATGGTTGGAGGATGGTAACAGGGAAAAACCAGGAGTTGGGATTTTCATCCTGAATGTGGGTACAGTGGTGTGTGTGAGTGGGAAGCCTTGGGAATGTGGTTGTGAGACAGATGCTGAAAGGATGAAGCACTGAAAGAAAAAAAGAAGGATAATACTGTGCTATAAAGTGATCTAAGTTAGAAACTGGGGTAAATGTGTCCTGATGATTAGCTGGGGTTGGTTAGACCTGTGCTCCTCTGGGGAAGAAGGGATTTGCTGTGCTTGTCAATAATAGGGAAGCATCCCCAGCTAGAGCAAGAGGCAGCTGATCCCTTTCCATTCTGATATGGGGGATGACTGACTGTTTAAGCCACCCTGAAATGTGTTCTCTTTTAAATCCTGAAAGGAGAGAGACACTTTCTTGTTAGCCCTGGCCCCTTGCTGGGTTTTTTTTTGTTGTTGCTTTTGACAATTGTGGAGGTGGCTTTCAGCGAGGCTTCGCTTCCTACACAGCCTCGCTGGGTTTTTAACTTTTGCTTGTTATTAGGGAAACCGGTTTTTAATAAAAGGTGACACTTAAAACCTGGTGCCATCAAAGCAGGTGTTGGAGATTACAGTCATTCAGGCATCCATTTTTTTTTTTACACAGGCTAGCTTCAATTAGCCATGGGCAAACATCAAAAGGTTTGAGAGAAGAGCCTGCAAGTTTAGGTATTTAATTGAACCTTCTCCAAAGCCTATGAAACTCTGGACTGTATCCAAAGAGGTATGCTACCTAAAAATATGCAATGGTGAGGTTCCCAGTGCTTGTTTGGAGCTCTCTGTATATTTGTGTAACACCAGAGCTGTATTCTTCAGAGCCCTCTGCCTTTAAATCTCACCATCTTCTAAAAGGAATTATGCATTGGCCAGCTCAAATCTATACTTTTGTTTTGATCAGGCACAGAGTGGAAAAATTTTGATGGTAGGAAAAAAATGTTTTAATGTTCTGAGAGAATGGTTTGAGAAAGTAACTGCATACTTGAGGTTTGTGTGATACCTGGCCAAGGACTTGTCTAATCCTGGGCACCTCTGTGGTTTGGCCCCTGGTCTTAGCT